CCGTCCTCTGAAGTTGGCTCAATTTCATGTTTGTTGCATGCTCAGTAGGTGCAGTTTTTCCCAATTCTTCTTACCCTTTCCTACTTCTGTGGTTTCTCCCCTGGGGCAGCCGTCTGCACCTGTCCTCTTTAAGGTTATTAACAGCCTTGAGGGGAAAATCCCCCCACACACACACGCAACTAGCATACTCTTCATCTCCATGTTCTATGATAAGGCCCCAAACAATCACTTCATGCCCCAAACAATCACTGCTCCTGTCTCCACTACCCATGGCACCTGCAGGCAATGCCCTCAGGTCTTCAGATATTCGATCTCTGCTGTCCTTCCCAGATAGCAGTAGCTATCACGAAGTGAACTCAGCCAGTATTATAACGTTAGTGCCTAATTCTGCAACTCTTACTAAATTATTTCCAAATCCCCGCCACTTAAACAAACCACAGTCCCTGAACACAGCCATGTAGATAATACAGAAGTGAAACTAAAATGATGAGGACAGAAGCTTGTTACAGAGACAAGCCTGGAACTCAGACTGTCCACATCCATGTTCATAACCGCCAATGAAATGGACCAAGTGGGTTGAAACTCGGGTGCAAACAGGGACTGGTCGCTTTCTTTCCTCTTTCAGGAGCACTGTGATAAAATGCATAGCTTATCCCCCTTTCATGGCTGGTATAGTAAGTCTGCCACGATGTGGAGCTAGCGGGCTCCTTGGATCCCACGGTGTTGCATCATGCATTCCCCCTTGCTTCATCTTTCTGTAAGCCAGAACTGGGGGACATGTACGTGTAGGACACAGCAGTAAGAAAACTCACAGGAGAGCTTGTAGCGCAGCGTGATGTGCAGAAGAATGTGAGGGGCCGCCAGAGGCTTCCACCTCCTCCTAGGGAATAAATTGCCAGACTGCAGGAGGCAGCCCATAAGAAGGCTTGCTGTCCCACTCCTTCCCTTCCTCCTCCTGCTGCCCCGCTGTGAATGGGGCTTTCACCACAGAAGGGGCAAGGGAAGAGGGAGAGGCTCTCTGTTTCGCTTTATTCCTCTGTACCCCATCTCCTCCAGCTCCACCGGTGGCTGGAGAAAGGGCAAGGAGGAGGAGATGCCACTTCCCCCTGCGTCTGTCAGTAACTGAAGAAGAGCCCAAAGCTCTCACAGTGCTGTGAGCACCCCCCCCCAAGGTACCTTCTGTATGCTGCCAAAATAGTACTTACCTGTTTTTTGGTCTCTTCCTCACAGCCAGAACACTTGCTGAATACAACTGACAATGTCACCGTGCAGTGCCACGCGCCAAGTGTCATAATCCGCACTGTTGCAGCAGAGGAAATCTCACCCTCCGTAAGCCAGGCAGAACTTACTGTTGATTCGGAAATTCAGCCAGTCGACCTGGTGGACCCGGCTACCTCCCTGGAAGCGGATGCTTTTCCTGATGACCTCCCCCAGCCCAAGCTGGCTGACGAGGTGCAGTCCACATACAGCAGAGACAGTGCCTCCAAATTTGTGGGCAGAAGTAGTGCCGAACTCATGAACAGGGTCACTGCCAGAGCTGGAGAAGAGGTTTTGGATGCAGATCTCAAATGCGAAGAGGATGCGTGTCGGTCCCATTTTGCCAGCACTTACGTCTCAGAGGTAGGGCAAAATATCGTCTTATGGGAAGGGTACGCAAAAGACTCAGTATGCCGTAGAGTGTATGCTAAATAGCAGCTGCTAATCCTGCTGCTTCAAGAAGCTGACTCACTTTGTGCAAGGCGTTTTTGGCACATACTCCAGATATCCCAGCTGTGAATGAAACACACATGGCTCGTGGAAGGGAGTGGGATGGGGAGCTGTAACTGGCATCAGCTCTGATTATACAGCCTGTGAGAAAACTGGGCTTCCACTCGTAGAGTGTGTGAACCTGCCCCAAGGAAGTGTTTCGATTAGGGTGACAGTACAGAGGTGTGCAAAACTGGTGTTGCACTTCATCAGGCCTTTGTGCAAATGCTAATTGTGCGGTTTCTCATCTGAGAGACTGTTGGGAGGGAAGGGGTGTTAACTTGCCTGTGTCCTTCGCTTCCCTGCCATAGCTTCAAATAAAGACCAGGGAGCAGCCAACACTCAGCAGCAGGGCACTTGCTTTGCAAAGGATGTCTTAGGATAAGCTCAAAAGCTTGGGCTGTATGGTTATGGGCCTGAAGAGGATGTCTTTGGTCTTGACCAGTGCCTTAACGGGAAGCCATTGGCCTTGGAGCTATCTGTAAGCTGCTTTGAGGTCTTGGAAGGCAGAATGGGTAAACATAACTTTTCTAAAAAATGTAGCAAGTCCTCTGTGCAAGCTCTAGCATCTGCAGTCAAAATATCTTAGGCAAGAGTACCAAGACACACCCTGGAGTGCTGTTGCCAGTAAGAAAAGTGGTAAGGTACAGGTGTGGCTACCAGCTACTGGTTATCTTCACTCTGGGTTTGTCACAGTATCTATGAACAGTGTGTGTTGATAGGAAATAGACTTAACTTCAGGGGTTGAATCTGGAACCACTGGCAGTGACATGTTGGCAGGGGGGCGCTAAGGAGGCTTCATCTGTAGTAGAACTAGGAAAGAGAGAGCGTATTCCTAGTCCGGTTTCATGAGCCTGGGCCAGCCATTATCTCTCAGCCCAACAGGCTTTAGAGTTGTTTCAACAACTAGTCTGGGTTTCTTGGAGAAAGGAAGAGGACACAAATTAATCTGTGGAAATTAGCTGCTAGCAAAGAAACCCCGTTAAGAACTGGCTGAAATTACTTAAGGCCTGGAGTTCTTCTCCTTGAGGCAGGATAGAAAATCCGTGAATATGGCAGGAGATCTTATGCTTGTTTCTTGCATGCTGACTCTAAGCCCTCCCGTTTCTAAAGAATCCATTTAGCACCTGCATTGCTGCCTTCAGGAATGTTTACAACTAATCGGAGAGACCTACAGCAGTAGAGAAATTCCCAGCTTCTGTCTATCCACAGTGGTTCCTTTAGAACAAGCAGTTTGAACCTGTTTGTTTACCACTGTGGACTCCTAAAAAAGCAGACTTCTGTTCGACATACTTGTGGAAAAAGCTGTTTGTCATACAGGACTTGGGGTCTCCCACCACAGAAGAACCAGTTGAGCAGTCCACCATGGATGAAACCGTCCTGATAGTCCCTTCTCCCCGTGGGTTTATCCAGACATCAGATGATATGGACAGTGAATCAGTCTTGCCTCTAACAACACTAACAGGTATGGGGGCCAGCCAGATTGGGCAGTGACCTGAGACCCTGGAGAGCTGCAGCTAGTCTGTGTAGACAGTGCTGACCTTGATGGACCAATGGTCTGATGCAGGGGTCGTTTCGTAGAAAAAGAGCTAGGGGAACTCATTAGCATAACTCATTAGCATATGCCACACCCCCTGACATCACCGGAAGTGTGTCATAAGGCCACACACCCCGCCCCCAACGGTCCCGGCCGCCACCGCCGGCCTTGCAGCTCCACTGCCGAGCCCCATGAGGGGCCCGGCGGTGGACCTGCAAGGCCGGTGGGAGTGCAAGGAAGCCCTGCGAAGGCCCTCCCTGGCCCCAGGCAGGCAGGGGTGGGGAGAGGCGGGGAGGAAGTAACTTACCCTCCCTCTTCTCCTGCCTCCTCCTGGCTGAATGAGGGCCGGAAGCGGGGCGGCCGGAAGCAGGGGGCGGGGCTTCGTCATGTGCCCCGCCCCCCGTACCTCACCTCGGGGAACTGCGATCCCCCCTGAAATGACCTCTGGTCTGATGCAGTATAAGGCAGCTTCATGTGTATGTGTTCCTTTGCAGAATTCTTATTTGGTCTGTGGTACTGGCCATCTGATAAGGTGACCCAGATAAAACCTGTCCGTTTTTTGTTTTTTTTTTAAGTAGGGCTTACTGATCCAGATTTGGATTAGTCTAGCAGACAAGATGAGCTAGTGTCATCTTCATACAAGGCAGCTCAGAGAATCCATGTAGTTTTCTCACTATGTTTAGAAGCCTGGTCCAACACAAGCAGAGAAATAGCCAGCCATATTGAACCACCCCAGTGAGTTCAGGTAGAGATGGTTATGACGACTGCCATGTCCTAGGTCAGAATAATCACTTTTAACCACTGCTGCACCAGCACATGGAATAAAGATCAAAATATTTTCTAATGCAATTTGTTAATTTCAGATCCTATACTACAACACCATGGAGAAAACTCCCATATAATTGGCTCCTCCTTGGACAGTCCTGATTCTGAAGACTCAAAGGATGTGGAAGATCTTGTGAGCTGTCATTAAACATGTCCTGTGCTGTGGCACCTATTTGTGGTATGACAATGCTGTTTGTGACCCTCAAACCAGCTTTCCCAAAGAAAACAAGCTTCCTGTGAGATAGCGCCTGCCTGCTTTTGCTGGCCACAGAAGAATACTGCTGGCCAAGGGGTTAGATAGCCACTACTGTTCAACAGGCTGAACTGTTAACCTTATGGAACCTGTCTTCTGCTAGGCTAATGGAAACCAGATTTGGCCATGATGGGAGCGTGGAACTCTTATTAGTGGTATCAAGGTGAACTATTGGGGGGGGGGGGGGGGGAGATTGTTACAATACAGTAGCTCTGGTTTGCCAAAAAGGGTAGCTTTGAAGGAGACTCTTTTCAAATCACAGTCTGCTATTATGACCAATGTAGTCAGTCGTATAGAGAACACTAGTAGCTCTTAAGTGGGCAATCTTCCCTGTTAAGGATACAGCCCCAGAAAGAATCAGGCGAAGTTTTCAGAAATCCCCCAAGTCTTTTCTATACAATGCAAGTTTAACTGAAAGAGAAATATAGGACAGTTAACTCGCCCTAGCTCTAAATTCAGACTTGTATTGCTGTTAGAGCCTGAAACCACCTCTACCATCATATAGCAATGCTGTCTGGATCATACCTTTGTGGATTCTCAGGGGAATGAGCTGCAGGTTAACCTGATTTTTATCTGTACTTGAGGGCTCTCAAAAGAGACACTAAGTTGAGCTGACAGTCCCACTTGGGTGGGAAGGAGGTGAACGCCAAACACTACAAAGAAGAGGATGTAAAAATATTTATTGCTGTAATTAGCTTCTTCAGAAGTTTGTCTTCTGTCTATGGCTTTGTTAGTGTAAATGAAGTTATAGTTAAAGGGGTTGCGTGTTCCGTTTAATATAAGCACGACCCAGTTTGTCTTCTGTATCAGTAGACTGAACTTTTATTTATACTGTGTTACAAACTTTTGAGTGCTGCCTTTTTTTTGTACAGTGTAATAAAAGACGCAGTTTTTTCCCCCAAAAGGAAAAAGCTTGTGCTGTTCTCAAAATGTGTGCAGCTGGAAAGTTCATTAAGTGCACTAGTATCTCTCTTTCAAAAAAAAGAAGAAGAAAGAAGCAGATGTAGTTTCATATGGCAATAGGAAGGGCCTTTAAATATACATCTAGAAGAAAACTCAAGTATCCACTGGAGTGCTGCCCCACCGAAGCCTTCTCCTTTTGGAGTCAATCATCCACCTCAAGAGCACTTCCATCCAGGCAATCTTGACGCAGTCCGTGCTGTGCCCTGTAACAGTCATTTACCCACTTCATGGAAGTAGAGGTTGGCACATATACATAACATGATAATAGAAAACAAGATATAGTAAATTAGATTCCTGAATTTAGGCTCCAGGTCTCCTTGTCGATACCAGTAGATCTGAAGAAAGAGCAAATGCAGTATTAGACACGGGTGTAGTCAGAGAGGGCCACCGTGGAAGAGCCCCTTTGTATGCTTCTACAGGAAATACAGGAGCCCCTGCCCTGTGGCACCCATCCAGGTGCTCCTGTTAGATTTGAAGAGATGGGGCTTGCGAGATGTCCGCCCCCTTCAAACGCTGCACTCCCTTCCCTACTGTTGGCTGAGTAGGAACCAGGCAGATGCCAGAATAGTAAGCTGTACTTGCACCCACTCCCCCCCCCCCAACACCCATGTACTTCTGTCCTCTTTCAGTTGTCCAATGATGGAGCAACCATCTGGATGAAAGGGTATAAAATACAAGCAAAAACTGTAGTTGGGGAACAGAAGAAGCGCCCATGGTAACATGAATGGACATACTTTAGTCATTTAATATCCAACATGCAGGGGTCATTTCGTAGAAAAAGAGCTGCAGGAGCTCATTAGCATAACTTATTGGCATATGCCACACCCCCTGACATCACCGGAAGTGTGCACCAGCCCCTCTGACAGGCAGAAGCACCTGGGATCCATTCTTTCCCCCCTCTCCCTTCCCTTCACCTCCAAGTCGGGTGAAGGAAAAGGGGAGGGCGAGGGTCTCAGGTGCTTCTGCCTGACAGAGGGGCTGGCGTGCCCACAGCCAGCCTGGGTGAATTATAGAATCATAGACTCATAGAGTGGGAAGGGACCTCCAGGGTCATCTAGTCCAACCCCCTGCACAATGCAGGAAATTCACCAATACCCCCCCACACCCCAGTGACCCCGTTCCACGCCCAGAATATGATTAAAAAAAACCTCCAGGATCACTGGGGGCCAAACTAGCCTGGAGAAAAATTGCTTCCTGGCCCCAAAGTGGCGATCAGCATTTCCCTGGGCGTGTAAGAAAGGGCCACAAGAACTAAGCACTGATGCAACCCTTCCTGCTCTACCTCTCGTGATTTGCCTAAGTTCACACAATCAGCATTATGATCCTTTTAAAGTTGAAAGCATGATATAAATGCAAAGGACTATTTGTAAGATTATCTGTAAGACACAAGACCAGGACGCATCTCACTTCTGGCAATCACTAGGAGAGATCCTATCACTCAGCTTCCATTGCCCCACACACACCCCACACTGGAATAAGAACATAATATCACGCCATACCACATTGCAATAAAGCCCCTACAACTGTATACAGAAATACTGAGCTTCCCTACCATTTGCCACAACTAGCCCACCACACAACCAGGATCAAGACTCCTAAGTGGACCAACAGACAGGCATACACTCATTTGAGAAACTGAGTATTACATTACAACACCTCTGGAACATTACAGATCAGTAGAGGCAGCACTGCACAGTGGTCAGAGTTGCACATTGATGTGGGGAGACCCAGGTTTGTATTCTCACTCTGCTGGCTGAGTGACCCCGGGCCAAATCTCCCCTTCTCTACCTAACCTACCCCACAGGGTTGTTGTGAGGATGAAATGGAGACTCATGGGCAGGGTCCCCAGCTTCCCTGGCAGGAACACTATGTTAAGAAATCTCTCACAATTATGCAGCCATAGCAGGCAGGAGGGAAGGAGGCGAATACCTCCAGCGCCAGAGACTTGTAAAGAAAGAGTCAAACTTTGGGGACTCACCCGTGCACCAGAGGGCCAAGGCAGCAGGAGGAAAGAAGCC